TCCCGGGGTGCTGGACAGTCAGGGTTTTTGGACCTGAGCTGGGAGTTGGGGTCCGGAGGGATGGAGGGTAAGGGGTGGTAAGTGGCCAAAGGCATATAATAATAATAATAATAATCCTTGCATTTGATATAGCGCTTTTCACGTCGGGAGGACGTCCAAAAGCACTTCACAGAACACACTGTAAGGTGAATTGACTGTATATTTGTGGGCGAACGCGGCAGCCAATTGCGCACAGCAATGTCCCACAAACAGTCGTAGATTGAAAATGACCAATTTATTATTGTTTTTGGTTTTGGAGGGATTATTATTAGGCTCTGTGTGGAGTAAGGAAACTTGCCCAAGGTTTCGCCCTCTGCCTGGAATTGAACTCAGGTCTCTCGCTTGCAAAGTGAGTGCTCTAACCACTGAGCTACAGGACTCCATGGCATGGTCGAAGAGGAAGGACTTGAAGGAGGCAAGAGAGGGGTGAGGCAGAGGGATTGCGAGATGGAGTTCCAGATTGTGGGGGCAGAGAAACTACCACATTTGTCAATAGAAACAATAAAATTTATATTGATTCAGCACCTGTCACGTTGGGAGCAAGTCTGAAAGCACTTCCCATTGTTAGGTGGGCACCGAAGCTGGGTGTCAGACCAAGTTGGAGGGACTCTGGGATAGCCTTCCATTCCACTTGACCGCATTGGGTAATGTTGTGAGATAGCCACCAGGGGGCTCAACAACAACAACAACATTACATTTGTATAGTGCCTTTCACGTCAGGAGGATGGCCCCAGGCGCTGGACAGTGTACAGCATTTCAGACCTTAGCTGGGGTCAGGGGGAGAGGGGAGGGGAAGGGGCTGATCAATGGCATGGTCGAAGAGGAGGGTTTTGAGGTGGGACTTGAAGGAGGTTAAGGAGGGGGCGAGGCAGAGTGATTGGGGGATGAAGTTCCAGAGGTTGGAAGCAGAGTGGCTGAAGGCTCTCCCGCCAATGGTGGGGTGGGTGGGTTGGGGGACGTGGAGCAGGCTGAGCGGAGAGAGCGGGTGGGTTGGTAGGGGGTTAGGAGGTCACAGAGATCCTGCATCACTTTAACACTGCAAGATTGAGGTGACACCAGCATGTGGAAGTGACTGGCCACTGCTTGGTGTGACTGAGCAGATAGCTCCTGCTGCACCTCAACTGACCATGAACTCAGTGTTATCGGGGAAGTAGTTAAAATTATTATCCACCACATTGGTGTTATAGTGAGAAACAATGGTGTTATTTTGGTTTTCAAATACACACGGTCACTTAGATGTATTTTTTCTGGTTCGGAGTAATCTTAGTAAGTGTGAACTTTACAATGAAAAGGTGAACACTTTGAACACTATGAGCACTTCCACTTCCTTTCATGGTTTCTTAAAAGAGCTGTGCAAAAATGGTTTCAAAATGAACACTCATTTAAAGATTCAGCCAAAATTTCCCACTGCTAAATTTGGAGTGCTCTGGAATGCTACCCTTCATAAGGGGCGCTATATCAATTCAAGTAGTTGTAGTTGTTGTTGAAGACAATGGCCTTAAGGCTAAGAATATGCAACACCACATGCCCCAGTTTACCTTGTGTAGGAAATGGAAATACATGGTTTACCAAGGTACTTGATGTAAACTTCAGGAGTACAGTACTGTTGCGGAAGCTTTACTGTAAATCAAACCTGCTTTATACCTTGGCTCGGAGCACTTGATACTGAGAAAAATTGCAAATGAATCACAAATTTCATTTCTTCATCATACAGATGCCTCATATTAACCCAAATATATGCATCAAAATACTTATTAAAACTAAGTGGAGGTGTGAGCTTGGCTCAGTTGGTACTCTCACCTCTGAATCGGAAGGCTGTGGGTTCAAACCTCATATGAGACTCATATATAGTCTAGGCTGACACTCCAGTGAAATGCTGGGCGAGCCCTGCATTTTTGGAGGTGCTATCCTTTGGATTAGATGTCAAACTGAGGTCCCTTCTGTTCTTGTTCAGATGGAAATCAAAGATCTCATGGCGCTATTTGAAGACATAAGTTTATCCCTGTGTTCTAGTCAATAGGCTGCCAGATAAAAATGGTCATTTACTTCATGACTGTTTGAGACATTGCTGGTGTAAATTGGCTGCCGTGTAGTCCTGTAGCTCAGTGGTTAGAGCACTCGCTTTGCAAGTGAGAGACCTGAGTTCAATTCCAGGCAGGGGGCGAAACCTTGGGCAAGTTTCCTTACTCCACACAGAGCCTAATATAATCCCTCCAAAAAAAACAAAACAATAATAAATTGGTCATTTTCAATCCATATGACTGTTTGTGGGACATTACTGTGCGCAATTGGCTGCCGCGCTCGCCCACAAATATACAGTCAATTCACTTTACAGTGTGTTCTGTGAAGCGCTTTGGGACGTCCTCCCGACGTGTAAAGCGCTATATCAAATGCAAGGATTATTATTATTATGTTTGTCTACAAGTACAGTCATTACACTCAAAGCAGTTTGAGATGACCTCCCGAAAGACTCAGTCAAAGTTAAGAATTATATTTATTATTATGTGGTCAGTTGCCATGGGCTAACAAGAAAGATGTGAAAGTGGAGCTCAATCTGCAAACCAAATAAATAACCAGTCACAACCATATTTTGAATAAAAGAAATTGAATTCAAGCTTTCTGCTCAATGATTCTGTTTAACAGAAAATGCTATTTCTGCAAAGTAATTAGTAAGCCAATTATATCAGTACTTTACAGATCAAACAGCATGTCAGTAACAGAGAGCATACTAGTGTAATTCAATAGTAAAGTGGATTAGAGTGTTCTTTGTTTCACAAAGGAGTTTCTTTGCTAAAGCGCTGAGTTTTTCACTCAAGCTTTCAGACACCTTTGTGCCCGCTCTCTAGAACTCTCTTGTGAAATCGTTCCTTCTCTGCTTTAGAAACAAGTATAGAGCTTCTGTGTTTGACTGCATTATCAGTCACCTCCGCACACCCGCCACCCACCCAACCACCATCTCCCACCCAGCTACTGCTCTAATAAACACTTTGAGGCATTGACCTACGTGAAGCAACATAACTGCACATTTTGCTGCACAGTATGGTTAGGATGTCGATTCAATGGTACAATTACGCATGTGCATTACAGGATTCCACTCAGGAAAAGGCTAGCTCATGCAAGTGAAACACTCACAAAACCAAGTCCAAATGATTTATTGTTCTTTTAAGCTAATGTCACATTAGCTCACTGATTTATTTTCAAGTTTATTCAAAATACTCAAAATCAAATAATAAATAGATTAAAAGCACGTACTGTTCAGAGCTCAGGAGTCTGATATTCCTTGTGGTTTTTGCCATTCTCTTCACATTTAAGACTGATGAATTTGGAAATTTCTTAAATTCTATCTTAATTTGGAAGCCAGTATTTATTAGTTCTAAAGAAATCTTCTCACCCAGCTCCTGACAAACCAGCAAATCAAAAAACTTAATGAGCAGGATCTTTGTTTGACAAGCACAAGCAGCGAGAAGCTTGTTGTATAGGAATGACAAGCTGCATAGTTTCAGCCACGTATGCAGTTTGCCGTTCAGTTAGGATCACCCTAAGCAAAAGCTGGTGTCCTCCAGAACCCCCAGGTACCGATAAGTATTAAGAATCAACAATTGGGACTTCCAATCGATACCTTCAATGTCACCTCTTGAGCCGAACGTAACCATGATTCTGCATTTGGAGGTTCCCACCATCATGTCCCACCGGGTAGCCCAGTGTGAAGATGGTGGGTGCAACGCAAGAGGTTCCCCAGGTTAGGCTGTCAGCAGCACAATATTGTCTACAAACAGAGGTGCTGCAATCCTGTCAGAGCAGCATAGAACAGAAACACCAAGGCCCTTCCCCTCGATGCATTCTAACACATAATTGACGAACATGTTGAATAGGGTGGGTGACAATGGGTGGACTTGCCTTACTCCCACCCCCATCAAGAAGGATGGGCTTATACCTTAGTCACCCGACCAAACCAGAAACTCATTCATAATGTTCTAACAGCTAACACCAGTTTTGCTTTTATGAAGGGATTTAAAACATAAAATAATGTAAACAGAACTGGTATTATACATACACCATTTGCCCTTTCTTTCACTAACCAATCTTATCAGACGCATTGGCATTCATTCAAGGCTAATACAGCTTCACGACTGAATCAGACAATTTCCATGAAGACCATCTGTAGCCTTTGAGCAGTTTTTGGATCATTATCCACTGAATTCCTTTTGGCACCAGTTGTGTAAAAGCAGCAAACGGTCAGTCTCTTCCATGCGTGTTAAGCAGATTTTATTAAGTAAATATTCTTCTTCATCCAGAAGACAGGAAGTCCCTTGACATCTTGGTATGGGGTCTCCAACAAGCTCTGGTAGCTTCTATTCTCCATGGTGCATTTATATCACCAGTATATTAGATGGCTCAGGAGAGTGGGGAACTGTGATGAAGGGGTTGATATTAATTCAGGCAAAAGTGGAGGTGCTGGAAGCCCTGTTATTGAATCTGAAGAGAGTTGGGAAGCTGAAGTGATGAAGATAGGGATGTGACTGGGATGGTGAAAAGGTAGGTGTCAGGGAAGACAGTATAAATTGGGAGAAAGAGCAGGTCTGTGTAACTGTGAAGAGAAAATGTGGGAAGGTGGTGGGGGAGGGGAGGTGGCAGAGGGCATTTCCATAATTGGGAAGAGGCTGTGAAACAAAGATTTGAAGCCTGAATCTGATTGTGCAATTGGAAGAACGTGACCCAGGAGATGAGAATGGAAACACCATTGATCCATGTGACTGGGATGTGGTGAGGGAAGGCAGGAGGATGATGGATGGTTAAGTCCATTTTCCGGGGATAATGAGAAAAGTGAACGAGGCAGTGATGGTGAAAGGGACGATGGTGGAAGAAGTGGTGGTCGTGAAGGAAAACTAAGAGATTGTGAAAGAGATGGAGTAGGTAGTGGAGGCAATGTGGTCCATCCATGTAACGTGGAAGATGAGGGGTTAGAAGGTTGCAGTGTGTGGTAGAACAGAGCATACAAGCCCAGAACAATCAATCACTCTTCCTATTGATTTTGAAGGACTGGAACTAATAGTATTTGGCTGAGTAGATGTTAGAGACAGTCTTTCAAGCATTTCCATGGACACAAATGTGGTCATAGATCCTGCATTCTGCACTGGTTTACACAGTGTGTACCCTAAGTGAAAGTAGAAATATTGCTTATCGTGAGTAGTAAGATACAGAGTCTTGAACCCACGGAACTTGGCATACGCCTCTGTGGATTCCATTAACTTTCTACCATAACCTTTGCCCCGTACTCCTTCGCACAACCACTGTCTCCACAAATAGACCACTGGCTTGGCCAACTACACGGAGAGCTTGCTGTGACCCACCAACTGACTTTTGGTTTTACTCCCGGTGCCGTCCGCTATCTTCAGAGGCCTAAGCAAGACAAGGCAAACTGGGAAATTGTTTGAGGATTTCTGGAAGAGTGAATCCGAGATGCTTTACTCCTCTTCCACTCTTCATTGATGAGATCAGCACAGGTCCATCAGCTCGGGGCAAAGATGCAAGGGAACTATCCTCAGCTCTTCAGAAAAGGTCTTCTCACACTAGCAGCAATAAAACGTCAGATTTAATGAACAGTGCTCATCACAGGCTCAGAAAAAGTATGTCTGCTTCAGGAGAAAGACAGATCATTTAACAACGAACAACCCAACTACATATTGTTCCACTTTTCATTAATCATTTAGGCCCTGATACATCTGCCATATAACACTCTTCTATTCAACAAATAATAAATAATAATAATCCTTGCATTTGATATAATGCTTTTCACGTCTTCTAGACGTCTGAAAGCGCTTCACAGAATATACTGTAAAGTGAATTGACTGCATATATTGTGGACGAAACCGGCAACCAATGCGCACAGCAGTGTCCCACAAACAGTCGTGGATTGAAGTGACCAATTTATTATGTTTTTTTTGAGGGATATTATCAGGCGTGTGATGTAAGAAAACTTGCCCAAGGTTCACCCTGCCGGAATCAAACCCAGGTTTTCGCTTGCAAAGCTGTACGATTCTATGATACTATGAGTGCTCTAACCACTGAGCTACAGGACTCCACTACAGGACTCCAAAGGTTGAATCCTAATTCTCGCCAGCTCCCTGTCTCTCAATGAACAAATTCAAGGTTCTCACCCTCAAGTATAAATCCCTTCATAGCCTCGTACCTCCCCATCTCTCTGATCTTTTCAAACCATTCCTCTGCTTGCCCCTCTGTTCAGCTAACACAGGTCTGCTATATTCACAGATCTCCCCACGGTGGTCAAGTGTTCAGTCACTACGTTCCAATGTCCAGAATTCCTGCCTCTACTCTCTGCCTGGCTCTCTCGGTCCTAAAATCTCACCTAAACCTACCGTTCAACCATACCTATGGTTATCTTCCCCTCCCCTTGCTAGCGAACTGCCATTGTGCAGTAATTGGACACATTTTTCTATGTAAAGGCAGAATATAATTGCAATTGTTGCTGAATTAATATAAACTGCTCCAAAATGTGCCAAGTGTGCAGTAGGATAATGGCCAACTGACTAGATTTGCTCTATTAAGTTACCACCTTGGGTCACTTTAAATTCCCTTGTAATATATGAAACTGATGTATAGGAAGCTTTGGTGCATCAAATTGTTGTGTCATTTTATTATGTGATCCCTCCGTTCTTTCAAAAAGTTTAATATCTTTGATTAGTTTCCTGCAACTGGTAGCCGATTGCTCAGGATTACACTCGGTATCTGGAAAGTGCTTGAAGACGTCTAGCCTATGTGAAAGGGCTCCATAAGTGCAAGTTGTTGTCACAGGTCTCTGGGTGGTCAGTTTGAGAGACACTGATTACTTTACATAAAGCATAATAGTCTGTGATTTTGCAGTGTTGTATTGACAAACACACAGTTGCTCCCGTCCCAATAAGGTTTGTAAAGTCAGTCAGTCACACAACACGGCAACACACACAAACACAGTGTAACACCTGAAACTGTCTTTCATTTCCGTACCGTGTTGTGTGACTGACTGGCTTTACAAACCTCACTGGGATGGGAGCAACCGTAAACCGACCTCATGTCAATCGAGGACAACCCTCACTGACTGTCCCCTCCCCATTCACAAAACACCGTGTTACACCGTCAACCAACTGTTCCAGACATCTGTGCAAATTTGCACTGTAAGACTGACACCACCCGCTACATACACTAACAATACCCTTCCAGAACCACCAACCGTCCCATGGAGTCCTGTAGCTCAGTGGTTAGAGCACTCGCTTTGCAAGCGAGAGACCTGAGTTTATTTCCAGGCAGGTCAGGGCGAAACCTTGGGCAAGTTTCCTTACTCCACACGCCTAATAATAATCCCTCCAAATCCAAAAACAATAATAAATTGGTCATTTTCAATCTACGACTGTTTGTGGGACATTGCTGTGCACAATTGGCTGCCGCGTTCGCCCACAAATATACAGTCAATTCACTTTACAGTGTGTTCTGTGAAGCGCTTTGGGACGTCCTCCTGACGTGAAAAGCGCTATATCAAATGCAAGGATTATTATTATTATTATTATTAATACATGTCCACACAACGCAGCGGACTGACCTGCCACTAAAGTGAACATCTGCTGCTGTGTACAGACAGCCAGATGTGCAGGCACAAGCTTACTCACAGTGCTACAGAGTAAAAGATAAAAATAAAACTGGGTGCTTTGCAGACAATAATATTGATCAACTCCATTGAAAACACACATTATGTAATGTACAACATGGATAAGGATGAAAGGCTGAAGAGGCTGATTACAGACTATTGGAATGAAATTCCGTATTATGTGTAGTGATGTTGTCACTGTTAAAGATTTCACATTTATAACTGCGATCACCAAAGGAGCTCTGCATACCTTAAAATGTCAGTCCTTGTGGTACTTCACAGGAGACCATTAAGACTGCTGATTATGTCAGCCTGCTCAGTGGTGGAACTCTTGCTTTGAGTCAGAAGGGTGTGGGTTTAAGCCCTATGTTGGAACGTTTCACTCACAGTCTAAGATGACACTCCAATGCAGTGTTGGGGGTGTGTTGCATTGTCAGAAATGCATCCTTCAGATGAGGCGTTAAACTGGAGGCCCAGTTTGCCTGTTCAGGTGGACGCTAAAGATCCCGTGGCACTATTCGAAAGAGAAGTGAGTTTCTCCTGGTGTCCTAGCAGCAATCCCCAGATAAAACTGGTTATTCGCTTCATGCTGGTTTACAGACATTGCTGTGTGTGAATGATTGCTTAAACAGTCACTACACTTTTACAGTATATCCTTTGAAGCGCTGTGAAACATCCTCCAACATGTAAGGCGCGTACAGCTCGGTAGCTCAGTGGTTGGAGCACTCGCATGACAAGCGAAGACTTGGGTTTGATTCCCGGCAGGGCGAAACCTGGGCAAGTTTCTTACCCCGCACGCCTGATATAATCTCTCAAGAAAGAAAACAATAAAAATTGGTCACATCAATCTACAACTGTTGTGGACACTGCTGTGCGCAATTGCTGCCACGTTTTCGCTCACAAATATACAGTCAATTCATTTCCAGTATATCTGTGAAGTGCTTTGAGACGTCTAAAACATAAAAACTCTACATGAAATGCAAGGAATTATTATTACCTAATGTAAAGATTATTATTGGTATTCTGGTACTGACTGTTTCTTTCACACAGAAGGAAAATGTGGCATTTCGAAGGCTCTGAGAAAAGCTGCTCTGCTCTTGGCTGACGTGATTGTTAACAATCCCATGGACTATTCGAAAGAACGAATATCTACCAGAGTACTGGCCAACAATCCCCAAATAAACAATGGTTATCACATTGTGGCTGTTTGGTACAAATTAGCTGCTGCATCACCTACAAAATAGAAGTGTAAAGTGCTTTGAGACGTCCTCCCAATTGAAAGGCCAATAGCAAATGTAAGATTATTATCATCATCATCATGCTCTGGTCTGCCTTTTCCTTCAAACCTCCAACAAAACCAATTTTACACATCATCAAATGTTTAATTAAAAATACAGAACCTACCTAAAAATGTGAATCTAAGAGTTTCAACCACTCACCCAGTCCTGAAATTCAACGGAGCCCAGAATTCAGCAACAAAGCTGCAAAGTGTATGGTAAGCACCTCACACCACAGGCAAGAGGAAGTGAGAACTCTGGTGTAACTGTCAGCTCGACACAGCCCTGTGCTCTCCTCCCTCCCTGCACTCTCCTTCCCCTCCTCCCCCTTTCACCACTCTCTTCAGTAATTCATTCTGGTTTTGACATGTATAACTTTAGATAATAATAAATAATAATATAGCTGATGTCCTTATATGTCTCCCCAGCACCTTGGGACATCTTCCTGAGTGAAGGCGCTATACAAATATAATTTTCTTACGGCTCAAACGCTTCACAGATTATACTGTGAAGCAAATTGACTATATTTGTGGGCGAAACGCGCGCACAATTGACACAGCATGTCCACAATCATCGTGGATGAATAACCAATATTATATATTTTTTTTGAAGGGATATTCCCCAGAAAGGCGATCCCCAGTCGTCTAATAACAAGTTCTACTTACTGCTAGATAAACAAGACATGTGGAGTAAAAAACTTGACCATTCACCTGCTGGGAATCAACCCAGATTCTGAAATGCACTCATTGGGACCAAAGCATAAGTTCCTGGTCTTAATATTGTAAATTATACTGATAATCCTTACATTGTATAGCATTTTCCACATCAAGGATATCTCAAGACGGAATGACAGTTATTCTGTTGGCCACAATATTATTATTGAAAGAAACAGAAATCACTCACTTTAAAGGCCTGCATCAAAATCCTTTAAAAAGCAACAATCAGGACTTGTTTCTCTTTTTCATCCCTTCTACCTGCTGCGATGGGCTCATCAAAGTGATTGTGCTCGAGGTCTGGCAGTGAGCAATAGCAGCGTGGAAACCCAATCTCGAATACACACATATGCACACACACACACACAGTCCAGTAGGGGGTGCAAAGTGATCGGGAGCAGGGAAGCTGGTTACATGTCCTGACCAAGGGGCGCTGAGGGCAACTGGCATCCTGATACTGCCCCAGCTGAGGTCACACGCAAGTTTGAACCTGTGTCTGACCTCCAAGATATGCAACCTTGTTTGAATCAGCAATCTTCAGTATGAATGGCTCTTCAATTATATTTAAAATACTTTAGTTCTGTTATTTATAGAGCTGATGATACAAGGATTTCTCGATCTGAAGACATACGTGTGATGGATTAGGAAATCATAGAAATGTAACAATAATCCTTATATTTGATACAGCGACTTATCACATCGTCAAGACGTCGCAAAGCGCTTCCCCGGATATACTGTAGAAAGTGGAGTGACTATGCTTTGTGGCTGAAATGTACAGCATAGGTCACTCACACCGCTGTGCCCAGGCTGTGAAGAGCTATCCGTTTATTTTCACTTCCTTGCTCTTTTCCCGCAGCCTTTCTACCCCACCCTCTGGAACTCCATCCCAGAGCTCCGCGCCTCTCTCTTTCTTGCCTCATTCAAGGCCCTTCTCAAGACCTGCCTCTGTGACCGTGACTTCGGACACCCTCTCATCCTCTTGATTCCAACCCCAGCTCGGGTGCAAATCCTTGTAGTGTTTCAATCAATGTAGGTTTTACTTCTGGATTTGGCTTGTGCCAAAATGCTACCAGTGTAGATTTGCTATCTGTGACAACAATCACAAAGATCAATTAACTGATAATATTAATACAGATTTATTGAGATTTTTTTCTTTTGGTCAGCTGGGTGTCTCACGCAGAAAACTTTCACCATGCTTAAGAGTATCCAAAGCAGACACAGTTCTGCATATGTAAGCTTCCTTCACATGGGAATTTCCCTGCACCTCGAATGGAATGTGCATTCTCTCCCTGAAGGATTTGCACTGTGCTACCTAACTCCGAGGACAACTTTGTCACGCTAGGACTTAGGAACTCCTATTAGTGCGTTTTTAGCTTGCAGGGTTATTGAGAAATAATCTACGGGCTAGAGCAGGAAATTGTGCTATCTGCCTTTTCAGTTGAAGAGTGAGTGTTACGATTTCCTTCTTAAACAGTTCCCGAGACCATCTTAAACTTCTACATCCTCCTGTTTATTTCTGTCGTACTGTTGGCACTTTGAAAATGGGACATTGATGAGAGGCCTGGGTTCTGCTCAATGATAGACACCACGAGGGTGTGAATTTCCAGCGCAGTAATGCCCAAAATTCCACTCAGTGTTGACTTGGTAAAAGCCCTTATGTCATGAAAGTTAAAATGGCACAGAATTGTGAAGGATCCCTAACGTCGGTCTTAAATTGTAAGATAGATATTTGAATAACTGCAGACTACGAGCATCAAATTAAGACTTAATGTACAGTAAACCCCTAGTAACTCTACCCTGGCTTAACTTAAGTAAGTCACCATGCTGTCAATATCCCGACCATGCTTATTTATGATTTATACATGTGCCTAACTCACTACTCCTGATAACTCATCATTTAAGAACCCTTTTCCCTTTGGAGTAATGAGTTATCAGGAATTTACTGTAAGAATTTTCCACAATTTAGTTCACCCTTGTATTTTAAGATAAACCGGTCTTACAGGTTAAAACTGGGTGGAATTCTGAGCTTTTAGACATGTTTGCATTTAGAAATGTAGAGTTGGTTATATTACCTCAATCGTTTCTGTACTGGGCTCTGTGCAGTCTCCATCAGCCTGGGCAGGCTGGGCAGGCCTGGTGCCAGCCATTCCACAGCTATAGTCAGCAAACTCTCAGCCATGGGCAAGCCTGCAGCAGGGTAAGACAAACAACTGGGCGTTAATTAACATGCCCTGCAACACAGACAGTCCACACCCTAAGACAAGAAATGTAGGAGTGCAGAGGGCCAGCATGTCACTGCCCGTTGCTCTGATCCTGAGTTTCACATGATTGTACAGGTCACTCATTAATGCTGCACAGTCCTACATTTCTTGTTTTTCTCCATGTCACAGCAGAACAATGAAAGATTCCAGTCCTTAAAACAAAATTAGAGAAAGAGAATTCAATAATTTTAAAGAGAACAAGAATTAAGAAGGCAGACAATAAATGACTCTCCTAAAGACATATCTGGCATAAGGAAAGGAAGTCCAAACCAAGCTGAGCAAACATGAAATAGAAACAATTTCTTCACCAAGGCTTATGAAACTGCAGTGCACTGTTTCATAAAGATCCATCAGCTGATATGTTGAAGAGATAGACAGCAAAATATGGGGATTAGATTACCTGTTGGAAAAGAAGATAAATGGGGTTGATTATACGTTAGATATACCAGTAGAAATTGGTTGGGCAATTGAAATAATACATCCAGTTTTTAGCCTCATTGCATACATGGAACATTGCTGTGTGCAAAAACTGCCACGTTCACCACTAATAATATCATGTCACATTGCAGTATATCCTGTGAAGCACTAGGAAATATGTCGACGACATGATAAGATGGCTATATTAAATGCAAGGATTATCATATAGGAGGACAGTGGAGATTCACTAGGATAAGAAGTCCAAACACACTCCTTGGCAGTCTCTCTAGTTCTACCATCCATAAACTCAAGCTGATTGAAAGCTTTGCTGCCTGCATCCTCACCAGTACCAAACTCTGCATCACCCAGTTATCACCAGAGTCTACTGGCTCCCAACCTACTGGTCCTCAAACTTCAAGTATGAAGTCTTCACCCCCTAGAAACCCCTATCTGCGACCTTCTCGCTACCCCATCTTGTTGGCCTCCACCGCTCAGCGAAGCCGGGCTGTTGTGTTCCCCTGCCCCCTCTGCCACCACCACTGGTGCCAAGCCTTCAACTACTCCCTCTAACCAATGGACCTCCCTCCCTCTAACCCTCCACCTCAACCCTATCCATCTATTACTAAAGCCTTGATTGTTCCTATGGTAACCTCCCCCTTGTTCAGCATCTTTATGAAGGCCTATAGGACAATATCCTACGAGTGCTATATAAATGTTATGTTATGAAAAGTTGGATTGAAAAGTTGGATCTATGTTTATGAGGGAATATGATACAGGTTTTGGAAATAATGAATGTTTTTGATAGGTAAATATCAGAAGACAACTTTCACTGATCAGCAAGTTAAGTGAAGAGAGTACAAATTAGGGATTGGTCACCAGAAGAGAAAAAAGGTCAGAAATCAGTTCAACCAGAGGCTGTTAGATCGTAGAGAGCCTCACCAAAAAAGAACTGCTGTAGCCGAGTTTGTAACACCATTTACTGAGGAAAAAACAGGGAAATGGGATTAGAGTTGAGGGAATAATAATAATCATTGTATTTGATTTAACGCTGTCTCATGCTGAGACATCTTAAAGCGCTTCACAGAATATACTGTAAAGTCGATTGACGGTATATATTTTGTGGACAAAAAGTGGCAGCCAATTGTGTACAGCAATGTTACCACAAACAGGGGTGGATTAAGTCACCAAACTATTATGTTTTTTTTAAAAAAAGGATTACCCCAGAAAAGCAATCTGCTATCAATTAACAACAGGGTTCCTACTTATTGCTAGGTAAACAGAAGCATGTGAACTTAGGAAACTTGCCCAACATTTCGCCTTGCCCAGGAATTGAACCCAGGTCCTCCCGCTTGTGAGGTAATACTCTAACAATTACACTACTGAACACTAAGAAAGAGCAGGGGATTGGGATTAAAGGGGATGAACAAGCAGGCAGTGCCAATACAATGAGCCATAAGGGGATCTTCTCTCTGTGCTGTCACCATTCTATGATTGATTGTAACTAATGAAATGGTGAGAGCAGGAGTTGATGGGCTGAATGGAGCATTCCATTCCTTTATGGTTACATTGAACTTGGTTTTCTAGCAAATTAGATAAATTATTTAAATAAATATGCAAATGTTATTATTTATTTATTTAATCTATTTCCCTCCGCTCAGTCTCCACAGCTGAACATTGTGAACGGGGATTAGCACACAGCACCTTGCAAAAGTTCATCCACCAAAGCTGCGAGTCAATATCCTGGGGCAACAAAGCGGTTTATCCAGCCTAAGCCACAACACATCCGACCTGAGGATTAAGAAACATCTGGATTTCAAAATGAAGCAGGTTACTGTACAGAGCAATACAGGAAGAGGAGAGGGGTGGAGCGGTAAACATCGGCACGCACCAGCTAGCCCATATGGCCCGTACTTTAACTATGTAAATGGTGCATCCTGAAGGTGTCTCAGACAGACCCGCACGGGTTCCAGTCAGACTCTGATATAGGGCCAACCACAGCCGGGTGCCGGGACTGCAGTCCATCCCAGTATCTGCTGGGATTGCCATTTACAAATTTATGGTGAATCTTACAAATTAGACTTCAATAGCCCTCTCGTCTTAGTTACTGAGAAAACACGAGAGAAAATAAGGCAGAGGAATAATTATCCTTAAATTGAATACAAGCACTGGGAGGACATCTCAAAGCACTTCACAGGATTTTACTGTAGTTTAGTGACTATATTTGTAGGCAAACATGGCAGCTAATTTGCGCACAGCAAGCAGCAGTGGCAGGCCTTCTTAAAATCTTAAACCAGTTTGAAAGATTTGAGCATAACACAAAACAGTGAAAAACAGAAGCCTAAATGGCTGAAGCTTTCAATAGCTGTGAGAATGTATGAAAGGGCTGTCGGGCTTCAGGAGCGCTGTGCGCTTTCTTAGTTGCTGTTTTCAGATTTCTTTAGAAAGTCACTCACACCCTGAACAACCTGAAGCACAAACATTTAACTGCCAACCACTGTGGTCAAGTGGAGCAAACCTGTCAGTTCCAATAGTCACACCAACTTCATGGATTTTTATTTCTAAATGTTTTCACTATTTCAGTGTTAATGTACAATCAGGAATGAGATTAATAGACCTCTTACAGTGGGACCTGTTTCAACTCTCCAACACCAGCCATTTTGATGCGATTCTAAGCCTGGGATTGCTGGAGAGATACCCCCACTCCCTCACACACATACCCACAGACACCCCCCACCCGCACCACACTCCCCGCCCCACCACACCCGCTCCCCCCGCCCCACCACACTCCCCCCGCCCACGCCCCGGTGCCACATCCACACTCCCTCTCCCGCCCCCCGATCCACCCCCGCGCGGACTGACATGTTGAAGCTTTTACCCTGCGCCCGGCCCGCGCCCGGCCCGAGACAGTGACATCCTCCCGCGGCCAGGAGCCTCCACACACAGCGCCCTCTGTGGCCAGGAGCCTCCACACACAGCGCCCTCTGTGGCCAGGAGCCTCCACACACAGCGCCCTCTGTGGCCAGGAGCCTCCACACACAGCGCCCTCTGTGGCCAGGACATGCTATTTTTTGTCTATGCGCAGCTGTCAGTCATATTTGGGGCTGTTGAGGCGGCAGTGCTGCCGGGGCGGGGCGGCACCCGACCCCCAGCACTGAGGCTGCGCGCGGCTGAAGAGAAACGGAGACGGGCAAAGAGTCCAATGG